ATATATATAAAACATCCTTAATGAGATATATCAAACGTTTCTTTCTCGGCTTCATTCCGAGTCATCTTTAGTAAACAAATGTAAGAATTGTTTTTCAAACTCCAAGTGGGAAAGAAATGAATGTATTGCTGTTGCCGAACTAAGTGGCCTAGATCTCGCAAAGGGAATTGAAAATTATAATAATTTGGATAGTCAATAATGTGGAAACTAGTTATATAATTGTACAGCGATTAAAATAATTAGATTAAATTAATTTGGACAAACGATGTTGATCGTATGAAAGTCAAAGTTACATTCAAGAGAGAATAAATAAATATTACTCTTTTGCCAAATATATATTTGTTCACAAATAAAAGTTTAAAAAACGTTATTTATTTATTGTGCAAGCAAAAAAATAAATAAATATTTTATTAAAAAGTAAATAATTATTTTATGCTTTATATATGTTAAAAATAAAAATGTCTAGAAAAATAATATAGAAAATCTTATTAGATTTTTTGCAATGCTCGCAAACAATGTAATCCAATTTTTTTCGAGAAGAGATAACAAAATTTTACTTTTTCTGTTAGATTAGGCTGTCTTTTAAAAAATACCATTAAAAAAATTTTCGATTGTAAAAGTTTACATTAGTATTGGCTTTTTTACTTAGTTAAGCAGAAAAAAGGATAGAGTATTATCTTTTGTTGAAAATATCTCTCCATTATGTAAAAAAATTGTACGAAAAACAGTGAGTATCTTCGAGTACAATATATTTTCGAAATTGAGTAGACATACCGTAAAACTGCAAAAATCCGTTACTCAAAAACATGACTTTCAGTCCTTTGTGTGTTGTCTCTATTGATTCCGGTATTTCCTTAAATCGTTTTGATGTTCTTCATAAAAAAATTTTTTACGTTGATTTGTTATGATGTGACTCTGTGAAAAGACCTAAATGTATTTTTTATCCAAAACTTATTGTGCATCATTACAATTATATTATTTTAAATCCATACTTTTGTTAATTGTATATTAAAATTTTTAAAATATAGCCACGCAAAATTCGTAATTATATTTATTCAAAACAGTCCAGACTATGAGACTATGCGAGTGTTGATGCGATAGTGCGAGCGGAATTAATATTTTGAAATTGAATATTTTAATTTGTAAATAGAGAGCATATTATTCTCATTATGTGGTATTGTATTGGTATTGCATAGTAAAGTTCAGAGAAGCCGCTTTTAATAACCCGGATGCGGATACTTCTACCTAGCAGTGTCATATTCGGATCTAAGGTTCCGCAAGGGGTAGGTAATCTGCTTCAAGTTCTAACCTCACCTATACACGATATCACATTACTTTTCCTATTACTTTTCCTTTATAGCTAGCAGTTTAGCTTCAAAAGGAAAGCATAGAAAGAGAAATATAGAGGGAAAGGGAGAGGGAAGGAGGGGGGAGAAGGAGAGAGGGGGGAGGAGGGGGGGGAGAGAGAGAGAGACATCTTAATTTCTTAGATAGATGTACTCTTGGGATCATGGCTGATCATGATTCGTTCTGAACTTGCGCTCTGTTGTATAACGAAAAATATTTATATGCTTCGCATATAAATAATGTGGTAAATAAGTAAAACAGCAGTACTTAAAAGAAGAGGCAGTTCTCGAAATTTATATCCTTTTGAAATGTATAAAAGATGTACATACGAGTAATCTTCAAAAACTAAACAAATATTGAGTATGGGTGATTATAAATTGACCACTATAAAATTCGAGTTAAGATTACGCTAAAGCTGATAATAGTGACATCTTTGATTTTTTTCTTACATTATATAATATCAGAGAGAAAAGATATGACAGTCCAAAATTTGTAACTGCAAAATGCTACCACGCACTACTGCCCTCTGACAAAGTGGATGTAAACTACATAGCAAAAAGTGGATAATGTACTCTAAGAAAATTGAACGTTGTTATGTAGTTTACATCCACTTTGTCAGAGGGCAGTAGTGCGCGGTAGCATGTGGCTATTGGTGCGGCTGCTGTGCCCAATATGGTGTCGAGAGTGTTTGAGCGCTGGCGATGACCAACTAACGGCGAAGGACAATTGGCGGGAAATCGTTAGGTTACGAATGAATCCTACTCGCTGATTCTGACTCTTATGCCATAAAGCGGTTTAATACAAACTTGACTAATTATTTAACAAATATAGATTATAAAAATAGAGACGTGCGTAAGACGGTTCGGATACCGGTATTGCGTTGCTAGGTTAGAATATGAGAAATTAAGAAAATATACACTGAGTATTTATCCGACGATGTTAACAATTATCACAAGGCATGAGCGGTGATCGATTTCGCAGTGAACACAAAGTGATTCGGAACCTTAACTTCCGACTTGGTCGTTTGCTTAACGTAACATTGCGCGAATTAATTTTTAAAACTAATAGTCTTTCGCTTGGTTGCTGGACTAGGATATGTCTTCGGTTCACCTTGCTTTGGAATGTTAGTTGAAGACGGAGACGCAGTGGACGGAGTAGTTTCTGAGTCTTGAATTGTTACATAAGCGGGCTAAGTCTATCGACAGTGGCGTTGATGCATTTGCCGTCGATTTCTATAGCAAAGACTTTGTCCGAAATGCGCTCTAATATTGAGTCATCTAAAAAGTATCCGCGGTACTTTGTCACTAGATATATGACCATCAACACACATCTAGTGACAAAAAACCGCGGATACTTTTTAGATGACCCAATACTTTATGCGGGCCGGTGTATGGTTGATCCAGAGGACGTCTGTTGCCTTCTATTTTGAAGAAGACGTGAGAGCAGTTATATAAGTCTTTATGGAAAAATAGCTTAGGTCTAATGTGATGAGAGGTTGGTCTAGGTCGCAACTTTTGCATAATTACGCGGAAATGCTCGACGAAAATTCGTGGATCGCTCGGCATTTCTTCAGAGGAGAAAAATTCACCCGGTACTTTGACCGTAGTGTCATAAACTAATTCCGCTACAGAAGCACCTAGATCCTCTTTGAGACAAGTTCTCAGTCCGAATAGTACTACTGGCAGTGTATCAGTCCATTGAGTTTCGCTGTGGCACATTAATGCTGTTTTTAAAGAGCGATGCCATCGTTCGATGATGCCATTAGATTCTGGATGGTATGCAGTTATCCGACAATGTTTAGAACCGACGAGTTTGGTTAATGTGTTGAACAGCTGCGCTTCGAATTGCGACCCTTGATCAGTCGTGATCAGGCGTGGAGCTCCGAATCTGGCTACCCAGTGAGTGAAAAATATCTTCGTCACCGTGTTTGCTGTACAATCCTATAATGGAATAGCCTCCGGCCAACGAGTAAATCAATGTTAATAAATACCCTTTTGGATGGAGGTACAGGACCGATGATATCGATATGTACATGCTCGAAACGGGTATCTGGTACAGGTATTTTGGTAGGCGAGGTATGGTTATGCCGATGATGAATTTTAGATTCTGGCATGCTAGACAAGTGCGGGCCCACTCTTTAATGTTCTTAATCATGGAGGCCACACAAATTTTTGCGCAATTTGCCGGTGAGTTGCCCGCAGTTTGTTTGTGCGTTGATCGACGTTCTAGTTATCTCAGGGAACTTGCCTAGAATCTCTTTGAATGGATAGTCGTCGGCAAACGCTGAGAATGTTCCATTCTTCATGCAGTTTTAATGACAATTTACGTCTTCCTATTACTGTCAGAGCAACATGTTAAAGAATAACGTCTCTATTCTTAGGTTATATGTTCGATTGTGCGTAAGCGAATATGAGAAATTTTGCGATTCGAACGCCGGCTATCGAACCAATATCAATTCAGAAATTTGATTTTCACATTTTTCAAAGCCTCTAGTTCGGCCTTCTATTCTCTATGTTTTTTACCATGATAATAAAGGATCCTTTACATAGAAGTCATAGACTCGTGGAATTTTAAGTCGTAGGAAACTGACCAATTCTAATCGAATATTCTCCTTATATTTGATTGGTTAGTTTCCTACGACTTAAGACTCTGCGATCGTCTACGATTTCTATATCCTTAAGCCGATTCTATATTAGTTATAAGGAAAATACTTGATTAGAATTGGATTTGGTGGAAGATTCCGAAAAATTAAGATTTTTTATCTCCTTTTTTGTTGAGTATAAGCGGTGGTTCCTTATATTATTGATACGCTATTTGCTTACTAAAAACATGGCGGATTCTGAAAACTTGTCTGAAAAAGATCAAAGATACCGATGCTGCTTGTCCCTACTATATATCCTTATATTTGGCCTAGTTTCCACCGAAAGTTTAATCCGGATCAGAATGTAAGAATCAACGAACTACAGTCCAGCATTTCCTTGTCATTCGACTGTAAAAGGCTCCGCACAATAAAAGGAAAAGCTACTAATTTCATGTTAATAATTTGCTTATTGAAATGAAATATAATTATGACGCACTCGCTATTCCGCAATATTAAATTTTATTTTAATAAGCAAATTATTAACATAAAGTTAATATTTTTTATATTATATTCATGTTGGATACATCTTTGACGCATCATGTGAACATAGCACACAAAACTTGCGTTATGGAAAAGTGCGGAATAGCGCTGATTGGTTCTATGATGCCTTCTTTATTCCGCAGTCGTTTTCACTGTGTGATTTCAGCCTAAGTATCTCATCAGTGGCCATTGGTCTATTTTCTGTTGTTTTCTGTTCCTGCACTAGACTGCACTAGAACTTTCTCGTTTTCGACAAATATCAAACATAACCTATAAATCTGTCTTTAAGTTCCAAAAATGTATATACTAGTTCAGCCATAAAAACAGCAAAAAATAGATTTCATGACTATAATTGTATTCATAATATAATCTACTGTCTTAATACTATAAATGTTTTCTATTTGGATGTATTTCTAAAATAAATAATAAATAAATACATAAAAAAGAAAGTGTAGCACGAATAAGTAAAATTTACACTTATGCATATGTCTAATTTAATATTTTTTTCACTAAAAAAATATAACATTTAATTGGACTCTAATATTTTTTTTTACTATTTGTGAACAAAGTTCGCTATGAAAATAATAAACTTGGATATTTTCTTGTGGCGTCTCAAACGAGTCAGCAAAATTGTAGTTAGTAATACCACTTGTTTTAACACATTATCAACTGCTTTACCTTACAGTGTTTGTAATGACTATAATACAAACATTGCAAAAGATTCGACTTTTAGCAATCAGCAATCCATGTTTAATAATGTTATAGTTAAACATAGTTCAAAAATACAGAATTTTCTGTCTCATCCTCGAATTGTTTCGCATATAATGTTATGTACTGAAAGAAAATGTGTTGGATATAAATCATATTATGGTAGTCAATATTATAATGTTAGATATCTTTCAAATACTGGTATTGATTCTATTACTGAAGTTGAAGTTCCAATGCAGTTTAATGGCATATTTAAAGCGATATCTGAAAGTGCACCTATTAAAATCACACAAGACTTCTTACTGTTGGTACATGATTATACAGGCTTACCATGGTGGTCAGTCATTGTACTTACCACCATTATGATGAGAACAGCAGTAACATTACCATTATCCTTGTATCAGGTATGTTTGTAAACATTATAACTAAACTTATAAATATATATTTATTTGACAAGCAAAATTATAAAACTTACATATATACATGAAATAATTATTTCTTTTCCTGTATGATGTTATACACTACTCAATAAAAAAATAGGGAACAATTTAACACAAAGTAGTATAATTTTTAGATCACTGAAACTTGGTGAAAAATTATTGCACAAAAAAATGAAAGAGCATTTTAAAGCTTGAAACTCTTTTGCATGCTTCTGGCTGTTAAAAAAAAATTGTTATCTTTACAGTTTAACAAAGATCACATTGTTATAAAAGTTAGACTCTGCGTATTTTACAATTTTCAATAACGATTAAATATGTTTTTTAACTTTATACCTTGACTCTAATGCGCGACATTAGTTCAAATTATAAACAAAGATTCATAGTTTTTATTTAGAAACCGTTTTATCAAGACATATATTATATGTTTATTCTCGAAATTTATCATTATTTTATTAGTATGACTGTCTACTAAAAAATTTTTTGTTATCTAAGTATTTTATTTATGTAAATTTATGGTGAGTTGTTTATGGTGAGTGTAGGAGGAATAATTTTAAGAAATAATTATAATTGATGAATGTATGTGTGTTTTTCCAATTCGTATTCGGTTTTTAGTTGATTCCAATAATCTGCCAACTGTTGGGAAATCCACACATTACATGAAGAAATTGATTGCGGAATAAGACATTGTTATTATGGATCATTCTTTTTGAAGTTGATTCAAAGAGGAATCGAAACGTCAATTTTCTATTGTATTGCGCTCATCGAAATCACGTTAAGGTTTATGTAAACTAATATATTAACTAATATATTAATAGACTAAATAAATATAAAATAATTCCTACGTTGACTCTCACAATAAATTAACTCTCACATTGACTCCCACAGCCGTGTATATTTTAATATTATTATTTTTTGTTAATCACATTGTTATATTCCTCAAAATTGTATCTCATATTGCATCAATATATTTGTGAGAATATCGGCTATTTTATAAATGTAATGCCTTCACTATAACTTGACATGCTAACCATTGCAATATGTTGACATGACATGTGGTATATTCAACAGTTTTTAGCTTGATAAAAAATTTTTTCTAAAAAAATAGAATAGTTTTGCAAAAAGTAAAAATTAAAAAGAAAGGTTTTACAAAAAATAATCGCCAAAATTTTTGACTTAATTCTATAGAATTAAATTAAAAACAAAATTCATCAAAGCATGTTACAGTATAAGCTTTAAGCTTTAGAGAATGCTTTTTAATCTTTTGCGATGATTTTCCATTCAACGTTGATTACAAGAAATGCAGATTAGCTTTAAAATCATGTAATTTGGTCAAGAAAAATTGTAAGAAAATTTTTTAAAAAGCATTTTATAAATAAAACTTTTTTTTGTAAAAGTATTAATTTTTTGAGAAAAAAAATTTTTATCAAATTGCAGACTGTTGAATGTAATTTTAAAGAACATAATAATGTGATTTTTGATACAGAATAAATATGAAAGTTTTTTTGAAGAACGGTCAAAAACATATTAAATTTTTAAACTTTAAAATTTTTATTTTTTATTTTTTTGTCTGCGATGATTTTTTGCCGAGTTTCAGTGATTTGAAAATTGTATATCTAATTCTATGCGTTTTGAAAGTGTTTCTAATTTTTTTTTGAGTAGTGTATTAATTTTTTTCAGAGTTTTAAATAAATTTAATTAACATTACATGAAAAGTTATAATTAGATTATTTTATATTAGGTGTTGGAATTAATTCGTAGCGTTTTACAAGTGATGGGAAGTACTTTCATTAATGTATTTTTTAATGCTCATGTGAAATAAATAACATTCTTTCATTAAAAACGCTACGAATTAATTCCAACACCTAATACAAAATTATATTAAAAATTATTTTTAAATATATTTTTTAGTTTATTATTTGTATATATTTTAAAGTATTATATAATGCAATTTTTAGGTTTTAATGATTTTTATCATGATATTTTTAGCTATATATATTAGCAAAATTGGAAAATCTCAAATATGAAATGGATGAGATAGTTAAAGAGATGAAGAAAGAGATAAATTATGGCATACATAAATATAATTGGTCTAAAAAATATGCCAAACGTTTATACAATCACTCTGTAGGTAATGTTTTGTTTACTTTAAGCTTCCAAGTTAATGAATTAATAAAAGCAATCAAATTTGATTGGAATATTCTATCTTTAATCCTCTTGTCAATATACCCAGATTTCCTTCTTTAATTTTTATAAAAATTTTTATAAAAAATTAGCTCAAAGCGCGCAAATCGATATAAAATTATTTAAATAATGAGGATCTGGCCGGGTTAAGATGTATTTTACCAGGAAATTAAAAAAATTTTTAATTAAAATCAAAAAGAGTACCCGGGTACCCGGGTATTGACAAGAGGGTTAAATATTTGCCATTTTTTTATTACAGCTAAACAATGGAATAAATTGATTGTTCGAGAAAATTGCCATCCAGCTAAAACTAGTCTATTAGCACTGATACAAGTACCTTTGTGGATATCATTATCAATGTCTATTAGAAATTTATGTTATATGCTACCCAAACAAGATGCTAGTATGTATGAACGACAATAAAATAATGATTTGAATAAAATAAAAATTAGTACATATTTAACATATTTGTTTTGTCAGATGCTTACATTACTTATCAGGAATTTATAACTGACGGATTTCTTTGGATGTCTAACTTAACTACAGCAGATCCGTTTGTACTTCCCATATCAATGGGATTATTTAATTTAGCTATTATAGAAGTAAATTTTTAATATAATTTCTAATTGGTTTATAAATATTATAAACGAACTTGAAAAATTAATATTTATATCCTGAGTCTTTATATCACTTTAATTTTTAATATTTTACAGATAACTTGTATGAGTAAAGTACAAAACGTAGAATTGACAAAATGGCAAAGATACTTAACCAATTTCTGCAGAATTGCTACGATTGGAATGATTCCTATTGCTATGTCTGTACCATCGGTAAGTTCAAAATTTGTTTATATATATATATATATATATACATAAGAATATAATTTAATTATACAAAACATATAATCTGAAATATATTTTTTACAGTGTTTAAGCTTGTACTGGGCAACTAGTAGTGCATTTGGTCTCTTTCAAAATCTAATTTTGTTGTCTCCGAAATTACGTCGTTTTGCAAAAGTGCCTATAACTACATCTGAATCACCACATCCATACTTGATATTGCGTAATAAGATAGCAGTTAAATATCGTTTAAAAAAAAAAGTGGAAATTCCACCGAAGATGTAAACATGTTTTGTGAGTTAATCACTTACACAAATAAATTATATGCATACAAATTTTACAAAATGTTTTTCATAATGTATAAACTTATATTTTTGATAATGTTTTGATATCTCATAAAAAATTTAAGTAATATACATACATATATGTATATATATATATATATACACAAGGTATGTCCCGAAATTTTTTGCCAAGCACTCTTGTGTAGATAGAGCAGATTAAATTGAGTTGAAAAGTCCTCTTTGCAATTTTTGCAATAGTTAACAAGATATTAATTACTAAAAATTGTCGAATATTGGTCTTCATTAATTTTTTTCTCAAATACTATCAACTTTACAGAAAAACTGCTAGAGACAAAAATTATATTTTTTTCTCATAGAGCTTTAAGAATTTTTTCAGAATTTTTTTATCAACTTTTTAATACTGCATTTTCTTATTTTTATCAACATGAGAAAATACGGTATTAAAAAATTCCGGTATTAAATTTTCAACACCGTTTGCTTATATCTTATTTGATCGATTGCCTACATGCATTTTTGCACACAAATAAAAATTTCAGAAACAAACGTACATTTATATTATTGTCTACAGATTGATTTCCTACAAGCACTATTCTCTGTTTTTTAAAACAAATTCTCTGTTTTAAAAACACAAATTTGTGCGCAAAAGTGCTTGTAGGCAATCTAGCTGTAAGCAATAATACATGTAGGTAATCAATCTGTAAGTAAATGAGATGTAGGCAAATGGTGTTGTAGGCAATCAGTTTGTGAGCAAAAGGAACCCTCAAATAAAATATACAAAAATTAAAATAATATACAGTGTTCTAAATTTAAATGTCAAAACTTCGGGAATGTGTAGGGGATCGAACTAAGAAAAAAAATCCTTTAGATATGCTCATTTTTACCATTTTGGAGAAAATCGCAAAAAAAAAAAAACAAATGTAGTTGTTTCATCGTCTCTCGCACTGCCTCTGAAGTATTATTGTTGCTGAAATCGTACCTAAAAATAATAATATTTTTGGTGAAAACTGTGTTTACGTTTTTTTTTTCTTTATAGTTTATCGATTCCCTATAACATGCTACCAAAATTTTGACACACATTTTAATATACAACATAAAATGTATAATTAAAATAATATAATTGTATATAAAATAAAATATTGCATAAATGGTAATAAAAAAAAACAATGGCGTTTTCAATAAACAATTGTAAATTTTTGTTTATAATATTAAAAATTTTTTTTTTATTTTTTATAAATTTGTTTTCACAATATATGTATAAAAAAAATATATATATAAATTTGTTATTGCTAAGTATTTCTACCATAATAAAAATTTTTAATTAATTTCTGGAACAAAAAGTAATTTCATAAAGTAATAGAATGTAACGAGGACATTACCATTACATACATTAACACATAGAAGAAAGACTATCGAAAAAAGAATAATATTCAATTTGCAAAAAAATTGTATATACTTATTACATTACATCATATATATGAAGAATAAAGCTGAAAACACGATAAGCACAGGGAATAACAAGCTGTCCACAATCAGGGATATAATATCAAACTTAAATTCCAGAGCTCTGATTGGATGACTCATTATTCCCTGTTCCTATTGCCTGTGCTTATCGTGTTTCAGACTTAATTCTCCTGATTTCTATTCTTCATGGGTACGTATCTTACATATTGTCTGGACTTTTACCTATATAAGATGCGTTTTTTTGTGTCATTTTATCCTTGTTTTTCATTAATAATGACAATGAAGATAGAATACAGAAGTAGCAATAATAGCGTTTCTTCGAACGCACCAATAGAAGTAAAAAATGTATGGTAGAAAGACGAAAATTATTAAACTGAAAGAAAATATGTGAAATAACTAGAATTTTTCTAAAAAGTTTTCTAAAACTAATTTTCTTTATATCAATAAATATACTCAATTATTATGTGGAAAGTTTAGACTTTGCGCACAATGAAAGAAACGTTAGGAATAAATATTAAATATTAGCGAAATAAAAAATTAGGAGTAAAGACTAATATATGTCATGTTATTAATTTGTATGTATTGTGCATTACGTTAATCTCTATATATTCTTAATTTTTTATTTCTTTAATATATTAATTTATCTAATGTATATTATTCGTAAGTTTTCTTAATATTTTTTATTGTGTGCATAATCTTACGATTTATATTTTATTATATTATTAATTACTTGAAATAATTGCAAATAATAAATACACTAGCGTTTTTATTAGAAATGTAAAGCAGCAAATAGAATTTTATTGCAACAGCAAGTGCATTTTTTTCCGTTCGACATTGCAGTTATTGATGTACTTGAGAAATGTCGATTCACGTCACCTTTACCCTTTTATATGAACTAAAGATAACGAAAATACATACAAGAAATGTATTAGGAAAAACGCATTTGCATGATAACAACATAACATTTCCTTATAATTATCATATCTGTAGAAGATTTTGTATATAAGGTCGATTTCTTGGTAAAGTAAGGCAATTGATTGAGTTAAACGACGATTAACACGATCAAAGAATGATCTTCAAGATGAAGTCTTGCACAGTTTTGTTATGCCTGGTACTATGTACATCACCATTCGTAATGACACAATCACAAGTGAGTACTATGTAAATAGTTAAGTTACAAATAAAAAATTTAGAAAGATTAACGTCAGTGAGACCCAATTTTTCATTATCTGATTAACTTGTGATTAAATTTAACTCGATGTTTCACATATTGAAGCCAATTGTATAAAACATCAAGATTAAGCCTAATCACTAGTTAACCAGAAAACGAAAAATTGAGTCTGAGAATCAATTGGTCATATGAATGAGAATAAAGCAAATATTTTTTTTATTATAGTTAAAGATGTTTTCAAAGTAAGTTATTTTTCTTAAAAATTATATATAATTGTATATGAGTAATTTTTTTTACATTTCTCCAAACTTGATTTTTTTCTAAAATAAACAAATACAAAAATTATTCTTATAATTATTTTTTATGTTTCCTTATTATTATTATTTTTTATTGCACTTGACATTAATTTTACAAAAGAAAGAAGGATATATATTGTCATGTTTGAATATATTTCATATATACATATATTATTTATATACAATACATATATGTTTATGATGTTTATACATATTAAGAATATGTTTATATATATTTATATAAATTTGTGCATGAAAAATTTTTTACCAGGATTGCATTTTGTATTTATTCTTTTGATATTATATTTTCATTAACAAAATACAATTCCTAATATATTTCGAAATATTATAATTAAAGTATACTTGTAAATGTTTTTGTCTTTTAATTGTTATTATAAATTACAATTATGTAACCATACATAAAATTGTTATATACGATTTGTGAAATTCTTTGTGTGTGAACTTTATACAGCACAAAATAATAAAACATACGATATATTAAGCAAATAAGTAAAAATGAATGTATGATTGAGCTATGATTTTACTATTAATATATTTACTTTTACAGATAATATATGTTTCTTCATATTTATATTTTTTCTATTTTCATAGCTTTCGCTACAGCTTTTTGGAAGGAAATGCTCCTTTTTTATTCATGATCTATTTTTTTTTTCTTTATTGTGGCACTGAGAAATAAAATTGGACAATTTATTCATTTACAGGCGTATGTAATGCCTTATCCGGGCGATTGCAGTAAATATCAACAATGCGATGCAAGTGGTTGTTTTGTGATGCGTTGTGGTATAGGAACAGAATTTAATCCAGCTATAGGTACCTGTGACTATCCTCTGAGGGACCGTACGGGATGTAATAATCGTGGATGAGAATTATTTAGTTAAAGATTAATTAGTTCACTAGAAGTTATTGTAAAGTTGCAGAGTTATTTTTAAATATTTTATTCCTGTTTAAATCGGATCGATACTTGTTACATTGTGTAAATAAAATTATAATATTAATTTAAATTATGTTTATTCTATTTATTATTAAAATTCTATGCTATTATTACAACAAGTAACTCATTTATAGTTAATTAAAATAATAAGATTACAAATAACATAATTACAAATTAAAAAATTGTTAATTTATTATGAATTATTTTCGCACGTAAATTGCAATAACACGGCGAACTGCAGAAATTGTAATTTTGTGATCATTAGGAGTAACTATTAAAATATAAAAATATAGCGGTAAACTAACATCATCGCTCATATAATAATAAATATATCGATACAATCGAAGAACAGTGGTAATTAAGCAACAATCAAACAATAATTAATATTTGACAAATGAACGCGAAAAAATATTACAGCGATATAGATATGACCTTTGTATGCATCTCATGCAGATAACCGATTTTTCACAATTTTATATAAACTCATCCACGATAAAATTAAACGCAGTTTTTGCGGTAATGATCAACATTGCAAAAAACTCTTACTAGACTGCGCACGCCAACACAGTGAATATCCTTTCATAACATTTAGTTATTACGGAATGATGTTTCACTGTTCTGTAACAGTTACGTCATTTTCAGATCAAAATGTCAACATATTTTGATTATTATATTTAACATATATTCAACATATATTTAATTATATTTCGCGCAATAAAGTCGAACAAAGAGAAGAACATATACGTAACATTTACATATAAATAACGTAATATTATTATAATTACGTAACATTTACGTAGTTTTCAGACAATGAAAATTTATGTTATTCAAATTACGTAAATGCTACGTTTACTATGCATCGAAACAGTGACAGCACGGTCATACATAATATAGTTATAACCTTTTTACATCAATGATATGTCCTGCTACGTCTTTGTGCTGTTCTATAACAATCACATACACTGTATTATGTAAATGTTCCGAAATTACGCACAACGTGTTTACTAGGAACCCAACCTACAATAAATATCATAATTTTATGATCGTGTTCTTGTAATTTTACCTGATTAGCTTTTCAGAATAATGTAAGAATATCATTTTTGCTGACTTAATTGCCTCTGCCATATTATCTTATCGCTGAGTGAAGTTAATTAAAAT